TGCAATTATATTTTGTGTATTTAAATCTTTTAGAATCACAATTTGGTTGAAAATACTAAAATAAATAAAAAATGACAAAATATCTTTACAAAATTTAGGGATATTTTGGTTAGTTTTGTGGGGTTCTCGTGAATCCTTACTTGCGGAACTAGGAATCTCAAATACCGAGATCCCACCCATATCGTGTACTCAATTGGCCAAATGCGAAGTAGATGAATACAACTATAAATCGAGTGTGAGAAATAAAACAAACATAAAAAACACACCACAATAACACACGATTTACATGGTTCATCCCATAGGGCTACATCCACGGCCTTGGCAACTAGAAATACATTATCACAATGAAAATTACAGTTTTGAGTTACAAGAGATAATACATATTTCTAAACATCGGTAAAAAAATCATCATCGATCTTTCTTTCTAAACTCGCTCTCTCAACTGACAAATACCATCGATCAACCTATTTCCCACCACAATGCCGCTACCAGAAAAATAACCTCGAGAGCAACATAGAGATTTTCTCTTTCTAAAAGTCGAAGTTAACCAACTCATAACTCATGAGAATACCGCCTCTCTTTCGGAGGCCATATCTCTCTCGCTTGGAGACCCATCTCTATATTGAAGATCCATTCCTATAACCCCCAAATGGGTGACCCCAAATGATGGGTATTATGTCCTTCTTCACTCTCTTGTAAATTGTCAATTTCTTGTTTATCAAGAAGATCTATATTCTATTTCCTATAATACCTTAATCTTTAGAAAAAAATATGGATATGGTGATTTAGCTATCACCAAACCCAACAATTTCCACCTTGATAGCAAAATCATTATAATTACCTTAATAACCTTCATTGAATGATTTTTTAATTTCTTCATACTTGCCTCAATTGTGGAATTTTCACAAATATTTTGCCTTCATATTTCTCTACCTCAAACCATGGATATTTCTTGATTTCTTCACACTTGCCTCCATTGTGGAATTTTCACAAACAATTTGCTTTCCAATTTCTCCACCTCAAACCATGTATCCATAAATCTTCGTCATTCCTCTTAAAATTTAAGTTATTTGAAGTGCATTATAGTGAAAAGTATGAAATTTAAAAATTTTAGCACATATGGATTTACAAAAATGAGATTAAAATAAGATACATGCTCTAAGAAGCAGAACATGGGCGTAAAATATAAAATATTTAGAATAATTTTCAAATTCCACAAAATATAGAGGATATTTACATAAAAAAAACCACTACACAAAGCCTATGGGCGAAAATGAACAATGTTTTCGCCAGAGGCTCTGCACTATCCACTTTTTTTGGACGGCATGGATAAATAGATCGCTTAGGTACGATCAATTTTTCACACGAAAAATACGGGAAACCACAATGGCTCTAGGAGAGTCATTGTAACTTTTCAGGCAAAACCACAACGGCTTTACAATAGCCATTGCAGAGCGAAATACTATTCATTTTCGCCCTACGGTGGTTTTAGAACTTTTCCATAAATATCCCAGTTTGACTAGAATTTCTATTTTCCCGATTCCTTTCTTGCCTTGTGTTCCAAATTAGATAAGAGAAAAATGCTCTAACACTTTTCCAAGCTTGCTGCATCTTGTTGTGAAGATTCTTCTATGAAACCAACTGATTGAAAAGAATTTGTATATTTGGATCCTATGCATATTCAAATCATGGAAACAGCAAGGAAAAACCATGTTGACCAACAAAATTTTCTACATACATTTATCTAAAAATTGTGAGTCAATTATTAATAAAATATTAATTTTTTAGTCTCCCCTAGTTTCTTCCAATGCAAGGAAACTAGATGTTACAAGGAACGCTATATGGATAAATTATTAGTTTCACCTTAAACTAAATAAGCATATGTGGATAACATTCCATTGGTCACCCAAAATATCTACGATGAGCTTTATAAAAAGGGTTTATATTAAAAAAAATATACAAAAAAACTATTTATTTTTAATACAAGGATGTCACAATCACTCTTGTCAATCAAATTTCAAATCGGATTGTTGTGAGTGAATCATTGATTAGATTCAATGACCAAGTGTAGATTGCATCATGTGAAGATGTATATCTATTTGCCCCTATTTGATGAAAGCTTCAATTTTATTTTATTTTTTGGTGGTTTTGAAATCTTAGTGTACTGATATTTTTTTTGGACAAAAATTCAGTTTTGGCCATAAACTAGGTAAAATGAAAATCAAATAAATTAAGACAAGTGCAAATAAGATAGAAGGGAGCCACACTTCAAAAAAACAATTAAGAAGGAGGAGGAAAAAATTAAGGATAGATAGAATAGTAATGTTAAAATAGTTCCAGTCAAGAAAAAATAGAAAAACTAAAAAACCCTTAAAAATGAACATTAAGAAAATAATACAATATAAATTTTAAAATAATATCAAAGAAAAAAGAAAAAAAAACTTCTAAAAAATGATGGAGAATCAAACTCCTCTTGCTAGTCAATAGAATTTCATTACTGTATAGAAGATATTGACTCATAATATGTACATCAATTGTGAAAATCAATGGGAAAGAAACACATTAACACTGAGTAGAAAAATAAACACTTTATTTTTTTAAAAGAAAAATCCATGGTTTATAGATTAACAAATTCAACACAATCACATAGTTAAGTAGGCTTAGGCAAGAGCTTACTAGACTAGACTAAGTAAAAAACTAATTGTATACCCAATATGCTAACCTACTCTTTCAAAGAAGTAAGAAAATAATTAAAAAGAATAAGGTCAATGTCAACTTAGTTACTTCTTCAATAAGAGCATTATTTTTTCTTTTTGATGAATTAAGAAAATTATTGTCATTTAGCCCTTTGACAATTCAAATTAAAAGGGTATTTTCATATTATTATTATTTTGAAAAAAAGGGGTTCAATTTGGCTTACCCCAACATAATCCACTCATCTTAGTTTAAAAGAAAAAAAGAAAAAAGAAAAAAAAAGATCAACTCAGTATCACTCTATAGTAGTGTTTCCACCCATGTGTTGGGTGGTAGCAATGTTTTAAAATCCAGATTGGTGGGGCGGACTTTTCGGCCATAAACCTGTGTCAGATTGTTGAATCGGTGATCCTTATCAAAGTCTAAACATGTCCAAATCGGTTAATATTAAATAAAATTAAAATTAAAATCAAAATCAGGATTTATGGGGTGGAGATTTCATCATCATCATCCAAACCTTATCTCAATTATTTGGGTTGGCTATATGAATTTTGATATTCCATTCTATTTTATTAAGGGTCATACATTCTGTAAGACCAAAAGTCGCTTTACATAGTTTTATAATTCATGATGAGATGTATCAAACGTTTGCGCTAGTTGCCTACCTAACAAAACCTATTTCTTTTACCCAAGCTTGGGATAGACTAAGGGAAAATTGAATGTCCTCACCCTTCTTAGACGTGGCATGAGGATTTAAGGGTCCTAAAAATATATTTGATAAGCTCAGAAAAAGGGGAAACAAATATAAAATAGATAGTTTATGAGGGAACTAGGTACAAATCCATACCATCTCAAAAACGGTTTGGTTCTAACTTCTAATTGAGGGAAAATTTAATGTCCTCACCTTCTTAGACTAGGGGTGATGATTTCAGGGATCT